CGCTGTGTAGAATTGAGAAATAATTTCTGAGTTGTTAGAAGCCCCCACCTCTATAGGTGGTGGGTAGTTCACTTTTATATTATACAATATTTTTCTCTTAAAGGGAAATATAACTTATAATTTTTTATCGACAATTTCCATTCCAACGTTTACAACAAAAACAATTTATATCGGGCTTAACAGAGAATTTAAGCCGCTATTGTGGCTAAATCTTTTTTTAATTTTTGAAATCCTTGGCGAAATAAATTCATGGTTTCTCAAAAAAAAGCCTCTTGGGGGTCCTGGGGTAGCCAGTGCCTTACTTTTACTAATTCGCTAATTTTGTTTAAACACTCCAAATATTCCGACCAAAATTCGTCTACTCGCCCTAGCAAAAGCGGGCGAAGACGTTTTTGGTCTTCCTCCCCAAAAGCAATTTTCCCGGTCGGGTCAAGAATTTTTTCGGGGTTGGGGCTGGTTAATAACTTTTCGCGATAACTATAAACAATTTTTCTTTGCCGATTAATTAGTAAATCGTAATTAAGAGTGTGTTGCCGATTGGCAGCCTGGATATTACGCAGCGATTCCTGGGGTTCAGAAATGAGATAGTTGAATAATTTTCCGCTGAGGGGCCGATGAAATATCTGTTGGAGTTGTCGCTGGCCAAATCAGCCACTCATTTTATTTTTGAAATCGAGATTTTTCAATAAATCATCATCCAAAGCAATATAAGGTTGGGTTTCGCCAGGGTCACCTTGCCGGCCTGACCGTCCGCGGGCTTGATTATCAATGCGGAGAATAGAATTCATTTCCGCAATTATGACTAATAAACCGCCCGCTTGACGGCTGGCTTGGTCTAAACTAATATCAGTGCCCCGACCCGCCATATTAGTAGCCACCGTCACGACGCCTATTTTTCCCGCCTCAGCAATAATTTTGGCTTCTTCCTCGTGATTTACCGCATTTAATTTGTTATGAAAAATTCTTTCCTGAATTAACAAACTTGATATTTGTTCAGAAACTTCCACACTCGGACAAATGATTAAAATTGGTCGTCCGGTCTTTTCCAGGTTTTTCTTAACTTGGCGGATAATAGATTGGTATTTTCTTTCCCGATTAAAGAAAATCAAGGCATCGTGGTCTTGACGAATTAACCGACGATAAGGAGGAACACTAATGACCTCCATCCCGTAAACTTCTCGAAATTCCTTGGCTTCACTCTGAGCCGTGCCGGTCATCCCGGCTAATTTAGTAAAAAGCCGGAAGAAGTTTTGGTAAGTAATAGTAGCGATGGTTTGGCTTTTAGGGCTAACGAGCAAATTTTCTTTACTTTCAATGGCTTGGTGTATTCCCGCCCCATAAACTCGGTTAGGAACCAAGCGGCCTGTTAAGGCATCAATCAGTTCTATTTTACGTTCTTCTGGCTTCACCACATAATCAATATTTTTATGGTAAAAGTGCTTAACTTTTAAGGCATTGAAGAGCAAAGAGTTATAACGATGATTTTGAAAAGCAAAAAGATTATCGATTTGTCAATATTTTTCACCTTTTTTAATTCCGGCCGGAGTTAATCAAAGATTTCTTTCTTTTTGGTTAACAATATAATCCTTTTTCTCAACCAGCAAACTAGCTATTTTGGTGGCTAGTTGATATTCAAGAGGATGAATTTTTCCTTTTCCCCGAGCGGGTCGGGAAATAATCAGGGGATTCTGGGCTTCATCAATCAAAATAGAATCGACCTCGTCAATAATGGCATAATAATAATCCTGTTTCCGCTTCTCGTCAATATTAGTTACCAGGTTGTTCCGAAGATAATCAAAACCTAACTCGCTGCTGGTGGTGTAAATAACCGTGCAATTATGATATAAATCTTTCTTCTCAACGGCCGAACAATCTCGTAAATTAACTCCGGAAGGAATACCAAAAAAGTCTAATACTGGTTTGGCTTGTTGTCAATCACGTTGGGCTAAATACTCGTTCACAGTTACCACAAAAACGGATTTTCCGGTCAAAGCATTAAGGCAGATTGGCAAAAAAGCCGTTAAGGTTTTGCCTTCTCCCGTATTCATTTGGGCGATATTCCCCTCGTGGAGAACCAGCCCGCCAAAAATTTGGGTGGGAAAAAGTAACAACCCAATTTGGCGGCGGATGACTTCCCGAACGAGGGCAAAAATTGGCACTACGCATTCATCTAGCAACTTTTCTCGTTCGTTTTTTTTACTATTTTGAATTTTTTCTCGTCAGAAATTAAATCTAGTTTGGATTTCGGAGTCAGTTAGTAAACTAAACTCTTTTTCCAAAACTAATACTTTATTTTGGCGAGCAACAAATTTACTTAGAATTCTTTTTTTTCAAAAATAATAAAACATATAATTTGATTTATGGCTGCTTGCTTGACCACAAGAGGGTAAAACATTTGCGGCAGACGCTTTATCCTAAACAGCCAGAAGACTCCCACTTCCATAAGTGGGGGATGAATGGCCAACGCAACTTCTTAACTAATTC